TATTCTCGGCCCTAGGCCCCCTAGGCTCCACGTATAGCGGCTACCAGGGCCGCAGTGTTTCTTCCAGACTTTTTTCTCCGGGGGGGGGGGGGGGGCACTTGAAATCTTCGGGGGGGGGGGGGCGGTAAACTTTCTTCGGGGTGGCGGACACTGTTAAAAGTATATATTTTCTATATAAATTATATAAATTTCAGTTCGTTCGGGGGGGGGGGGGGCGGTAAAAATTTTTCGGGGGGGGGGGGGGGGGGGCAAAGCCCTCCCGAAGAGATGCCTGGAAGAAACTCCGCAGGGCCGTTATAATTTCATTAAATCAACGTGGATTCACTTACTCTACAGATAGCTCTACTATTTATAAAAACAGCTTTATGTTAAGCGCCATTTACTTTACAGATAGCTCTACTTTGCATTAAAAAACTTTGAAACTTTAGCACGACTTTTAGCATGCCCTACAATTCATATAAAACAATATGGGCACAATTATTTTAAATGATATCACTACAATGTATTAAAAAAAATACTTTGATGCATATTCTTGGGCGTGTCCTTATAGTGCCTCAAAAACAATATGGGCATTCTTATTCTTTAGTATATTCATATAATACATCAAAACAAATTAAGGATGCCCCTAACAATTTATCAAAAATAATATGAGTTTAATTACTCTGCAAATTTTACCCAAATTTCCCCAAATTTGTTTTAAAATTTAAAATTATGATGGGTATAATTACTGTATGGATTGTCTTCAAATATATTATATGAATATAACCATACTTACTTCAAAGATGCCCCTGCAGTGTATAAAAATAATTATGGACATAATTACTCTACGGATCTCCTTGACTATGAATAACGAATATGAGCATAATTGCTTTACTTTAAAGATGCCCCTACAGTGCATAGAAATTAATGGGCAAAAGTATTCTAAAAGATGCCCCTAGACTATACTAAAAAAATATCAGAAACACACTTTAATATAAAGACCGTATTTATTAAAGAAAAATTAATTACCATCTATATACTACAGCCCACTTTTTCCATAAAAGTTGTGCTATACATACAGTGATAGACGATTGAGTATTACAATTTGTTTTGGGTGAGATTAGTAAATAAATAAATCAGCCAGCAGTCAGTGTGGAGGCAGATGAAAATTTATGATTACACAGTGACACAACATACCGCAACTGTTTTCAATTTAAAAAAAAAAAAAAAAAAAAAATCACCCCCATTGGATGCCCCTCTGAAGTGGATGCCCGGGGCCTGGGCCCCGTCCGCCCCCCCCCCCCTCTGCACGCCACTGTCTCCCCCCCCCCCCCCCCCCCCAACTAACAATGTCAACAAACCTACTAAGGTGAGATTACAACTGAACATCGGTGTCAATATAGCATTTAAGTTGCACACTTAGATCAAAATGTACCCCCCCCCCCACCCACACACACATACAGACACTGAACATGTTGGCATTTTTATAGCATCTTTTTTATACTTACTGTCACACCATGATCACGTAACTTTATCTGGCATGAGTCAGTTGTCATTGTGTTGGAACACACGACTTTCACTTGATAGCCTGTGATTCTCCCTGATCTCTCGTTGACTACCATTCATCTATTCTCTTTGAGTATAAGGCCGGCAAAAAAAAAACCCCACCTCTCCAGAGTTCTCGGCCCTGGGCCTTTCTCTCCAGCTGGTTTGAACCAACTTATTGGTGTCTGTCTCAAATTCTCGTTGCCGGTTGTACTTGGAAAGACATCTTTTTCCCACGTTTCTTTAACTTGCTTTCGCGTCTGTTTGTTTGTTTGTTTGTTTGGTTCTCCAATCAAATCTTGCGATCGAAATTTCGGGCACTTCCCAGTTAGCTAGCGCGCTGAAATTTTCGGGGAAGCTTTGTTTCCGATGACAATGGAATATTCAATTGTTATTATTACTAAATTGATCCATGGAAACATTTTATTGATCATTTTAGACCCCTTATATATTTGTACAAAAAACGTGGGGAAAGGGGACATAACCCAGTAATTGTAATTTGATGAAAACAAGGTTCGGTACTCTCCCTCTTTTGGCTTAAACGTCGATTGGAAAAGGCACGTGTTTTTTACGAGTTGTCTTCGTTTATCCAAACAAAAAATGAATGCGAAAAGATAAAATCGATAGCAAGATTTGAATGCAAACAGACAAAGACTAAAAAGTAGAAAATAATAATTATTAAAAAAGTTTTAAAAAACCCACGTTTTCTGATTGAACTAAAAAGTAGAAAATAAATGCTATACATCACAATAATGCAAGCGATCAGTGTGTACTGTGTCTATCCCCTGCTACTGACTTCTTTAGCCGAAGACAAATACTGTTGCTTTAGGGTGTATTGCCTGTGGTTTTTTTTTCTCAAGCAGCATTTTGGATATTGTGTGGCTGTCTTATTATGCAAGTCTTAGCTTCAAACAACACCGCCGCCTTCGTCTCCCCATCTCTTGTGCCTTAGAAAATAGTTTTTCCCACGTTGACTACGTGTTCATGTCGCGTTTTTGTGTTCGTTGTCGTTTTAGACAATGTCATATTTGTTCGTTTTACATTTTTTTGTCTTAAATAACTGGTTCACAGTGTAATTTGACATTTTTTCCAGAAATCTTATGTAGAATCGAATGTTGAAGTAACGACGCCATGAGGCGGCGTCTATCCCACAACCTGCGCGTAGCGGTGGGCCTGGTTTTTCTACTGCTGGCTCAACTAGTCGTCGGTCAGAATAACCCGGCGCTGACCAATAATGACCCAATCAACAGCAATATTAACGCCAATACGTGTAAGTAGGCTAAGCTAATCTCTTAACACTTAATTGTATTTGGCTTACGATAAATAGAATGACATAACTAGGACCGATAATCGTTAATTTTTTATCAGTCTATTTTAAGTTGCTTCCCTTATTTTAGGACTTTTTTTTCGCAATTTTAAAATCATAGTAATAGCACTCTTTGGAAATTTACTTGGTACAAACCTGCACTATAAATGTATCACTTTTTATTGTACATTTTAAAAGTTTATTGGATTGATGAAAGCAACCCTGTTTAAGTAAGCCCTATATATTATACATTGCTAATTAAGTAGTAATTTTCAATACCAATCATCAATTATTTGCTAATAAACTTTAATGCAAATTTTTCTTAAAGTTTACTTTGACAGCAACAGTGACTGCAATGGTCCTATCAGAGAGCTGTATGGGCTTGAAGCCACCATCAGGGGCAATGACCTCTCCTCACAAAGGCTGGGCCCAGCAACTTGTACCATTGTACTGCGATCCACCAGTCAGTTTGAAGGAACTGTCCTTGATATTGAAGTGAAAGCAATGAATATTCTTGACTGTACTACACAGGTGGCAATTTATGATGGGGATGGTGCCCAGATTTTGCTGGTGGGTTTAATCATGTATACACATTTTAAATATTTACTTCAACATTTCAATTCACATTTTTAATTTTATTTAAACAATAATTTCATAACGCAAGTTCAAGCTTTTAATATCTTGTTGAACTACTTTCAGCTAATTATCCTAATTTTGAGAATGGTTATGGAGCAAACAGAATTCACAAATTATATTTGTTTCTTTTGTCAAATGGCTGTCCTTATTTTTAAATGTGACTTGTCTTTCTTTCATTCCAGATGTCACATGACTGTCGCTCAAGTCAAAATCAGTTCCAGAAAAGATTTTTAACCTCAGGGAACACAGCAACATTCATCATGACCCGTCCAAACGTCAACAGCTACAACTTTGATATTGAAATCAAAATTTATCCAGTCAGAGGTCACTAGTTCATTTTTCCTAGCTTTTATTTTTATCTTTGAAAATATATGTTGTAAATATTTGTATTTTTACGTATTTTTACAAGCTTTTATTTAACTCACTTCCTCTGTCTGTCGCCAGTCGTCAGTCGTAAGTCGTCAGTCTAGATCGAAACGCTGGAGTGAAAATTCGGACAGTTCTACTTGACCGATACGATTTACAGTTGGCACGTGGGTCAAGACATGAAGACAATGCAATCTGAAACTAAATTTGACTTAATTGGATGCCTAATTAATTTTTTATGAATTAATTAAAATTTGGACCGAATTAGTAGGCATGTCTATCCAACCACACCACACGCGTCATCACGTTCAATAGCTGCGCCATCAGGTTCAATAGCTGCGCCATCACGTTCAATAGACTCGCAATGGTTTTTAGTCATGTAACACTATTGTAAATAAAACATGTCAAGTACTGAAAAATAATTCATAAAAAACGTTTTAATAACAAGCTTTTATGTACAAATGCACTAAAAAGTAGAAAATAAATTATACACTACTATTTAAATTACTATAAAGAAAAGCGTGGGTCTCTTCTCAAATATTAGTAAAGGTATCCAATAGGTACTAAAGTACTAAAGTGACCCACGCTTTTTTTATAGTAATTTAAATAGTAGTGTATAATTTATTTTCTACTTTTTAGTGCATTAGTACATAAAAGCTTGTTATTAAAAAGTTTTTCTATGAATTTTTTTAAAAGCTTTTATTGCAAGCTTTTATTTAACTCACTTCCTCTGTCGTCAGTCGTCAGTCTAGATCGAAACGCAGGAATGAAAATTCGGACACTTTTACTTGACCGATACCATTCACACTTGTCACGTGGGTCAAGACATGAAAACAATGCATCGTGACATTAAATTTGACGTAATTGGATGCCTAATTATGTTTTTATGAATTAATTAAAATTTGGACCGAATTAGTAGGCATTTCTATCGAACCGCACCACATGCGTCATCACGTTCAATAGCACGTCATCACGTTTCAATCGGCGCGCAATGGTTTTTAGTCATTAAACTCTAATGTAAATAAAAATATGTAAAGTACTAAAAAAAATTCATAAAAACCTTCTAATAACAAGCTTTTATGTACTGATGCACTAAAAAGTGGAAAATATATTATAGAATACTATTTAAATAACTAGAAAGAAAAGCGTGGGTCACTTTAGTATCTATTGGATACCTTCACTAATGTTTAGGAAGAGACCCACGCTTTTCTTTCTAGTTATTTAAATAGTAATCTATAGTTTATTTTCTACTTTTTAGTGCATTTGTAAATAAAAGCTTGTTATTAAACGTTTTTATGATTTTTTTTTAACGTAAGGCTAAAATATTTTGAGTAAACTAGAGTTAGTTTTAAAAATTTCTTTACTAAACCAATTTTTAGAAAATTGCATCAAAATTAAAGGTTTTTTGAAAGGCATACAAATTTAAAAAAAAAAAAAAAAAAAAAAAAACAATAAATATACAAAAACTTAAAAAAAAAATATCTGTAAAACTGAAAGTTAAGTAAAATATCTGTTGATTTAGGAAAATTATGCAGTTTTTTGTAGATTTCATGAACTAATTTTTATTTATCAATAACTTGTTGAACTACTTTAAGCTGGGTCTGATACTAATTATGAGAATGGTTATGGATCAAGCAATCCATTTGCTTTCTACAAGTTTCCACATGAAGGCATCGTTGGAATGATTGGTGGTTTCTATGCTGCTATCATTGGGATCTGTATTATTGTGATAATTTACAAGAATCGATCCTTCCAAGGTCTAAACAAAGAGTGGGAGACACATCAGCTCGCCACACTAAAAACTGGTAATTCTAAGAGCTCTCTTACATTATTATTTTTAACTTTAACATTCTTATAAAAAGTTTATTGCAGGGTTTTTTTTAAGATTAATTAGTTTCATACAAAACTAATTTAACACAACTTTCAGTTAATAAACATAACTGATCTGGTTACTTTAAAGGATATTGAAATTTAGTTACCTCTTCTGAACATCTATCATAAATTAAAAATATTATTCATGGAAAGTTTTATTTGGAATTGGGGAGATATTTCTAAATTATAAGCTAGAAGAATCACTTTATCTCAGAGCTAATACTTCTTTATGTCAGAATTAATAGTAGTTACAGATGGATTATTTCCGTAAAGTCAGAACCACTAGAAGTAACAAATTCATCCTTTCTGTAGTCCTGGTAATGAAAATCACAGATGTTTGCTCAGTTTTGTGTTTAGGAACGTGTGTATTTAAAAATAATCTTAAGTGATGGAAGAGGATATACATGTATATTTCTTATGAATCCATTTATTTGCATGAATTTTATAAAGCTTGGGTAAAAGTATACTATGTATAATCATTATATTGTATATTATACAAACTTTCTTTTATAAAAAAAAATTATTTGATAAAAATTAAATTTATAAACAACATTTCCTGAATGTGTCAAACTATTAGACAGTTCTATTTTTAGAATTGAAAGATGTTGTTATAGCAATTAGCTATTTAAAAAAAAAAAGTTTAGACTACTTGTAAATCGGGAAGGGTTTTTATTTGATGTTATAAAACAATTTGAGCTTTTTGTATGCTGATTGTGAATAGTTTAACAGACTAGATGCTAAATTTGTTAGTTCTTATTAAAAGCACATTTTAAATGCATTTGAATAGAATGCTTTATTTTTCTTTTAATTGAATGCTTATGATTATATTTATTAATTTTGGATTCCAAAATTAAAACCCCTCATAAATATTCATAAAGATGACAGATTTTTTTATCAATGAGCTTCTCTTAAACGTAGGTATGTTATCAAATTTAATCCATAGCAGTACTGTGTGTACTCTACTGATCGTAAAAATATCTTATCACGAGATGGATACAAGTAATTAAAAATAATAAAAAGTTGTTAATGTTAATTTTAGAAGAAGTCTGCCTTGGTTGTCAGCACACAACTGAACCAAAGACAACAGAAGAAACAGTGCTGGAAGATCAGTTACACATCTTGACACTTCCTACTGACAATGATGGATACTTGATGACAGCAGAGGCTAGGCAAGATTTAGTATCACAAATACAGTCAGGTTTAGTGCCTCAGTTAGATGCTAGAGACAACACGACAGTACAGGCTAGACAAGATTTAGTATCACAAACACAGTCAGGTTTAGTGCCTCAGTTAGATGCTAGAGATAACATGACAGTACGGGCTAGGCAAGATTTAGTATCACAAACACAGTCAGGTTTAGTGCCTAAAATAGAAGCTGGAAACAACACGACAACAGAAATTCACAGACGTCAGTCGGTTCAAATCTCAAATCAAGCACCAACAAATCAAGCGAACGAAAATCATTACGATATGATAGAAGATGAACTTAATGATTTTGCAAATAATTCTAATTTTTGTGGCGCCATTCATCAAGAGCTACTATACGATACATTATCAGAGCACGTACCACCATATCAAACCAGCCACTCGACAAACTATGATGATCTTAACTCAGACATTGTGAATACCATCTACGACGACACATCATTATATAATACCCCAGATAACAACACATAAAAATGGAGAACACCAGTATGCCGTGCCTAAATACAAATAAAGTAATGTAGATTTTTTTGAGGACCTGATATTAGACTTCAGACATTGTTCCTTGTAAAGGTTTGAACTTTAATACACAGCTCGTTATTGTAGTCTTCCTTTTGTGCATATGACATGATGGATTTTTATAATTTTTTGCTTATTACAAATTTTTAGTCTATTTTTCTTCATTAAAATGTTTTAGACATGCTTAGACTACCCACACATTGATACATTTTAACGTATTTGGATGAAAGTAGCATCTGCTATATTTGTACTGTATTTTATTTGTATGTGCATCATTAAAGCTTTAGGATTTTCGGTGTATTCTATGGTGTATTGCGAGTGTATTTGGTATCGAAGAACTGCTTTACACTGGCGCGAGTATGGTACTTGCATTACCCCTATAAATTATCCCCCACCATCGTAACCCTTACCATGGGCTATTACCCTTGCGCTTTCTAAATCCTTAAGGGGGCAGTATCACCCAGACATTTGAAAATTGACAAAAAAATTTGCCAAAAAAAAACTATTATACCTACACACATAAATTTTTTACCATAATAGTAAATATCAAGGAGCTATAAAACAGCACATAAAAGAAAGTTAACGTATGATGCAAACACTTTTTATAAATAATTTTACCAAAAAAAGTTTACTAAGTAATTTTAGGCTGTGGTTTACCAACATTTAGGCCCATCCTGCTGAAGATACTCTAGGGGATGCATAACTGGGTAGCCTATGGCCGGAACTAGGAGATATCCATTGTGACAAATTTTAAAATTTTTAGAATTTTTCAAAGTTAGACCAAAATAATTGAACTTTGAAATTTTCTAAAAAATTTATCTGTCATTAGAATACTATTATTTTAGTTCCGGCCATAGCCATTAACGCAAGGAATGTTTATACCAAATTTTAAGTACTTTACTTATGGTTTCAAAAAATTGTTTACAAAAAAATCAAAATGTTATAAAATATTAACAAAATAATTTTTTGAAAATTTATTGCCACACATATACCCTACAATTTATATACTGTATTATAGCAGAAGAAACGTTACTACTGCTGTAAAATTTTGACATGTGTATGTCAAATAGTTTTTTTTTGGTGATAGTTTTTGTTTCCCTCCCTTAGTCTGGGTGATACTGCCCCCTTAAATGGATCATATCTGTGTGTTGCATCATGTAAAGCGATGGAATACATTTAAAGAAAGTTTGGAAGAACACAAAATGTTAGCAGCAAATGTAGTGAATCTTGTAAACCCTAAATGTGATACCGCTGTTTTAAGAGTGTTGTTTTTTAACATTTGGCGGCTGAACTACATATTATTGTAATGTTGGAAAGAATGCGCATGTGAAGAAATTGCTCTTTAGAGGCTAAAGAGAGAAAAGATAAAACACCATAATTTCGAGAATGTTTAATGATCTTCGTATGCTATCAATACCTACATATGCTGTAGGTCAACAAATAGAGTGATTAGACAAATAATCTCAGGACAAATGATCTCAGACAAAATATCGCCGACAAAATATTTCACGGACAAATGATCTCAGGACAAAATATATCAGGACAAATGATATACTAGACAAATTATATAAGACAAATTAGTTAAGACAAAATATCTCACTGCAAAATTTTAATAGTGTGTCGGATGATTTTAGTTGATCTGAACTTTTTTTTCATTGACTGGCATATGGTATTGTTACTATACTTAATATTCTTTATACGCCTAAATAAGAATTGTAAGACATGTTTGCCGCATAAATTTGTCATATTGAAATAAACATTCTAAAAATAAATTACTAATATAGTATGTAAAGAGTAAATAATTTTTAAAATAGACAACGTAGGTGTGCTTGTCAATCATTAAACAATCCTACAATGTCAGGTGGAAGAAACTAGATAAAAGGGAATGAAATAGCAATATAAAGACACACCTTGGTACAAAGGTAGCCGCCCGCTTTGATGGCAGAGACATGCCCTCCAACTGGCATCTAAATTCAATAGTTATGAATCGATCACACCTCAGTACTCAGCTGACAATTACTTATATAAACGACAGCGGTCAACGAGTAACAAAGTTTGTCGTAGGTGCATGCAAACAAAATAGTATTAGCAGGGGCGGATTAAGCTTGTGCGGTGCCCCTGGCTGAAACTTTTTCCGGGGCCCTCTAAACTATATATATATATATATATATATATATATATATATATATATATATATATATATATATATATATATATATATATATATATATATATATATATATATATATATATATATATATATATAGTTTGAATGGAATAAGCTAAATGTTAACAGAAGCCATGGCATAGACAAAAAATGTTACATTAAATGTAATGTTAAATTACATTGAGACTTAAGAATATTTAAAGTGACAATTATTTATTTAATAACACAAAATAAATTATAAATACTTACATTAAAATTTATTACAGTTTTTGTTTTTACTTAGAACTAAAGACCAAGTGACTTTTATAGGGAACATTTGCGCTTTCCTGATAGCAAACCCTTCTATTAGTTCTGTATAATTTAGTGAGCTTACATTGTCATTTTTTATGCTCATAAGTGAGATCATACTAAGTCTCTGCTGTCCCATAGTGCTTCTAAGATCGCTTTTAATCTTTTTCATTTGGGAAAATGAGCGCTCTCCGCTGCATTTAGACGTCATCATACACAGATAAATTCGAAGAGCAATGTGCACATTTGGAAAGCTCTGAATGCACTTGAATCTATTTAAAAACATAAACATTTCCAATTTAATGCTATCATTGTAGACGTTTTGCTCTTTTCCCCCATGAATTGATTTAAACAGCTCGGCGAATTGAATCAACTCCGATGAAAAACATTCTTCAAAATCATCGGGATATTTGTTAATTAGTTTTGTAGCTGCTTCTGTAATGTCACCAGTGCTAAGGTTGGTCAGGTCACTGAAGAAATCGAACATTTCTTGAACAGTTTTATAGGAATCTAATCGATGATGTAGAGCTGTTGTTAGGTGGTCGATCACACAGATGAATACTTCAGTCATAAATTTTTCTCTAGGAGAAAGTTGCATTTTTGAAACTTTGCTTTCGTCAAATTGTCGCTTCCTCTTTAGTGGTCGTCTGTTGGAATATGTGTAGTCTTTGACTATACATTTAATTTTTCCTTTTGATTCGAAGCTAGCGGATTCATTACGTTGACTTTCAATAAAAAGAAGAACAGATTTTAACAAATTAACTGCTGTATTAAGAGATAAACCTTTTACTTGAAGAGATATATTTGTTTTTTGCAATCTCTCTAAAATTGTATCCCATACCTCCAATAATATTACTGTTTCTAGTTTTTGTAAACTTTTAAGATATCCTTCAGCTTCAGTTCTACATTTATGAGGTTGATTTTCATCGGCTGCTAACTCCTCCAAAGCCGATATATTTTCCTTATATCCTCTATTTAAAGCCTTAACAGCATCATGTCGAGCAGACCATCTGGTTTCCAACAAAGCTTTAGCAACAGGCAATCCATTCATGTGCTTGTTGTGTATATGCCAACGATGAGTAGATGCAGAAAACCAAGAGTAAAGGCTCTGAAGGAGATTAAAAAACCCAACTGACGTGGGGCAGCACTCAGCTGCGCAGCTCCCAACTAAATTGAGTGAATGTGCTGTGCACGGTACATACAATGCTACGTCACACTTCTCCCGGATTTTAGCCTGAACGCCGTTATACTTGCCACTCATGTTGGACGCGTTGTCATATGATTGACCGCGACAATTTTTAATGTCAATTCCATTTTCTTCCAACTAAAGTATTAAATTAGCTATTTCCGAACCAGTGTGTGAAAACATTGGTACAAATTTTAAGAAGCGCTCAATAGGTCCGGTGTCTTGTACATAGCGAATAACGATGGTGAGTTGATCAACATGTGAAACATCTGGAGTCGAATCTACAGATATAGAAAAATATTTCGCTGTCTTTATTTCATCTACAATTACAGACAAAACCTTTTGACCCATAAGTTCAATCATCTCCTCACATATTGTTGAAGATATGTAGGATGTATGTCCACGTCCTTTGTTGGCGTGTATCCGCATATGTTCTGCTAGAAAGGTATCGTACTGACTTAACAGCTCCAGCAACCCGAGATGATTCGCATTGTTTGGAGAACCAACCTCTTCAGTTCTGCCCCGGAACGGAAGACCACGAATACAAAGAAACTGTACCACACTCACGATTCTGTGAAGTACTTGTCTCCAGTACTGAATTTCACTTTCATATTGCGTAACAAGTTTCATGTCAATCTGACCAGTAGATTTTCGTGAACACATCGCTGCCAATGAATCAATGTGTTGTTTTGAATTTTTATGCCTAGATAGCACTTTATGTGCACTTTTCCATTGTTTGAACCCTGATGTCATTTTGTTAGTTATAGGTGACATCAGCTTACACACAAAACAATAAACACACCCGCTTGTTTTGGAATAACACAACCAATTTCTTTCAAATTTTTCTCCTGTTCGTGCATGGACACGTGTGAATAAAGAAATGGTGCAGAACCGACGTTGTGACTCTCTTTCTAACTGTATGACCGATTCTTTAAAGTCCCCGTTTTTGTTTTGACATGGTGTGGTACCACGTTGAATCCAATAGTTTCTAAATGCCTCTGACAACTTCTCCTGCTCTGGCCAAAAAATGAAGGTCGTATATAGCATGACTATCTTCAAGGGGTTTTGCTGTATCATCTTTCAAATCACATTGTTTTAAAGTAGGAGCCTGCTCTACATCTTTAACCCCGGAGGTGTGTGATTCAATAGCAGATCCCTTTTCTACGTGACTATTTTCCTTGGTACTCGAAGTTGGTTTGAAAAAGGAGAGCAGTTTTGTAGATTTTTCAGCAAGCTCAGCTTCGATCTTTCTTTTTTTCACCGATAATTCGCGTTTTTTTGCTCCACTAGGATAGTTACGAGACATATTCAATAGTATTTTAAAAAAAAACAAGACTGAATCTAATTAAAAGTCCGGCTCTTGCTGAAATGGCAAATTGTCGTTTTTTCTCCAGCAAGCAATTTTTTGACATATAGGCCTGATGAACGAGCCTTTAGGATTACTTTGTCTATCTGAAAAGTCTGAAGCCTGGATAATGGTGGAGGGTTTGAAATCAATAAAAATTTTGAACTCTTGAGTAGACTCTAAGCGAATAAATCCAAAAGGATGACTGACTCAACAAATGTAATTCCGAATGGGATTTCGGGGAGGAAGATATAGTTTGGGGACATACCGGAAGTGGGGAGGGGGGGGGGTGATATGCCAAGCTCAACAAAAGAGGTTCCAGTTTCCATTACCCTAACGGGTCGGACAGAGTTCACAGTTTAATTAAATTGGAAAAAAACTTAAAGGTCAAAGTTCACCATCTTTTATTGTTACAACTGAGTTCACGGTTGATGTTAGACCTAGTGAGTTAACCCCCCCCCCCCCTCCCCATCTGAACTTGAACAGTACTGTATTTTATAGGAAGACATTAGTGTCACACCTAGTTGTTATGTGCAGGGAAGAGAACTACGGTCGCCTGGAGATTGTTTTACCTGAGGTGGATGGCGATGGGTCGATTAAGTGAGCCCTCCCCCTCCCTCTCTCCGCCTCCACCCCTTTGTACCTGGTATGTAAATTTGGGAAAAAACGTAATGTGATACCCTATTGTATTCTGACCAATGTAGAAGTTCTTTTTTATGCCTGTAAAAATGAAAACAAATTTACAAAAAAATAAAGTAACAATAACTATACCACGTTACTGTTCAAAACGTGCGAACAGTGTTTCTTCCAGACTTTTTTCTCCGGGGGGTGAAATTTTCGGGGGGTTGTAGACCTTTTTCAGGAGGGGGGGACACTGTTGAATTTTGTTATGGACAAAATGAAACATCCCATTTAATAATCTAACCTTTGTTAATTTTTCTGATTATTAAAATAAAACGTGTTACATGGCCCTCAGCCTTTGAGGGCCAAAACAGAATTTTTTTTCTGCAGCCAAATCGCACCCTACCATGGCGCAGGTGGACACGTCTTATTCAATTTTGTGAGCTTTTGTAACGCCCTATCCTATTCATTGTCTATCACACTGTTTAAACCGAAAGTAGTCGCCTAGCGCTTACGGGAAAGACCACGGCGCCAAATCACATCCTACCGGGGGAGGGCTGCCAATTCAAAATTAAATTCCCTCCTTCCAAACCACCACCCACTGATATTCCCCTTACCACGCCTGAAACCTTCTCTATACCGTATATAGAGAAAAATCGCACCCTCCTGTGGCGTAACCCTTGCGAAATCAAAAATGATTTTTTAGAACCCTTCCCTAGAGTTTTATAATGAACTCCCCAAAGTTTAATGCTTATCAGATGAACGGTGTCACTGCAATTCACTTTTATTATTTTTATACGAGCCGGCCCGCGGCATAACATACACCGCTATTTAGTTGTTGTTTTTTCTACTTTTCAGTAATTCATAATTTGTGAATTCGACAGTACCAACGCTGACACTGAAAATATTTCTTTAAAACACTATAAGTAGCTCGTTAAAGACCATAACCCCCCCCCCCCCTTTCCTCCTATCCCCCCAATGTTTAAAATCGTTTCAAACTAAATTATCTGCCCCTAATAGCCGTCACTAAACCCGACTCCACGTAGGTAAACATAGCGTGAACCACAGCTCACTAAGACCATGTAGGGATGGGGATGGTAGGGAGCGCGTTTACAGCTTGTTTTCTAGCGTCTCCCAGAAGAGAATTATATATATAGATACCGTATATAAAGGAAAATCGCACCCTCCCGTGGCGCCGCCCTTCCAAAATTAAAAATTACTTTTTTAAAGAGTATTATTATGAACGCCGCAAAGTCTTATGGCTATCGGATGAACGATGTCGAACCAAAATCGACTTTTATTTCATATACCGTATATAGAGAAAAAACAAATTGTGCCCTGCTGGGGCGCCACCCTTGCGAATTTGAATTTTTTTATTCCGCAGAAACCTTTTAACGGAATATTCACAACAACTTCCCAAAGTTTCACGGCGGTGTGATGAGAGGTGTAGTAATGCAAAAGACACACACACACACACACACACACACACACACACATACAAACATACATTGCTTTATATATATATATATATATATATATATATATATATATATATATATATATATATATATATATATATATATATATATATATATATATATATATATATATATATATATACTAGCCATCGGTACCCGTTTAACATGAATTATAGGCCTATATATTTTTAAAATGTACTTGTTTGAGAAAAATAATTTATGAAATAGTTATAGGTCAAAACGCAATGTGTTTTACTACACGCTGAACGATAGTAGTGACAAAGCAAAAATAATAACTAATTAGCTAAAAATCCGACACATTAACATAACACAGACACACACTGATTCAGTGACTAAAAAAATCTGGCTATTCAATAGTAATTACGTTGTTTTTACGTAATTTGTATTAGTTTGACCGATAAAATTGTATATATTTCATAGCGTACGTCTTGATGAATAGATCTACAGATCTAGAACCAAATCAAATTTGAGTGAAGTAGTTCCTTTCTTTATAGTCTAGAATCGGAAGATTCACATATAAAAAAAATAAATTAAATTTGACTTCATGTGTCTCGATCGCGCACCACCTGCATGGTATTAAGCACACTATCATCTCACCTATTTATGCACCTTATAATACACGGAGAATGAAAGGCATATCTAAAAAAACTTAACTTACGTGAATATGCCTATTCTTTCCATTTAATTTTTGTAACCCAAATTAGCCAGTTCCATAGGTAAACAAACACAGATTTCTATAAAACAATTAAGGCCTTAAATAGTTTTTAAAAAAATTTCATTTCTGGAATAGATTCTAGAGTAGATAGAGTCTAAATCTAGAATCTAGATCTTAGCGACTAAGAGTCTACGTCTAGTTTTTGCGTAGATTTAGATCTAGTCTAGGGGGTCATCCATAAATGACGTCACGCTTTTTTTGACGATTTTTACCTCCCCCCTCCCCTCCGTCACACGTTGTCACAAAAAGTCAGACCCCCCCCCCCAAAAAAAATGACGTCACACCTCAACCTACAACCCCCCTCAAAATTGCAGTTGAATTTTTTTAAAACATCGATATTTTTCCAAAATCTTGTCTAAACTATTACAATTTATTAAAACAGTTATCTAAAACGCGAAATTACGTCTAAAATTCGTTTTCTAACATTGCTTTTTTATAATGCAAAAATATGACGTCGCAACATCTGAACCCCCCCCCCTCCCCCTTATCACACATCGTCACAAAATTACGGACCCCCCTCCCCCCTACGAGTGTGACGTCATTTATGGATGACCCCTACAATCTAGATCTAGAATCAAAATAGATAAAATAAATTTTATAAGTTTAGGCCGGAAAAATTGTATTGCATACATTTTAAAGATCTAAATCAACTTTGAATGAAATGATTCATTTCTTTTTATCCTAAACACGGCAGATGACGTCAGTAATTAATGTATAAATATTAGTGACGTCACTGTTTTATGCGTACTTTTTCACAACTATAAACTCTTTTCCTGTTGCATAATTAATACTGTTTTTCTACATTTGAATACGCCTTTATTTTTTATTTTTCTTCTTTAAATAAAATTGTGGTTATACATTTAAAACATCTACCATATTATTTTCAACAAAACTCCGTATCGATTTCTCCATATATCGCTGAAGATTCTGACGTGATATCAGGCGAAAATATTTTGCGGAAAGAGAGAGAGAGAGAGAGAGAGAGAGAGAGAAATGCTCACACGGGCATATTAGGATATATATATATATATATATATATAGTACGGTCAAAGCCCGAAAAGAGGCCAATGCGCGGATTGGCCGGCCAATGTGCGCATTGGCCGGCTCTCTTGGCCAAAGGCCGAAGAACTTAGCACTAAGAGCGTATTTTGTACATTGGCCGGCCAATGCAAGCACTGGCCGGGATGTCCTGGCCAATGTTTTATCTAGACTAAGTTGTGATAGCGTTTTCATTATTATGGGTGTGGTTTCATTGTGAGAAACGTATTGAGATTGCGATCCTTGTAAGTTGAACAATAGTGTCCAAGCGACCTGAAATCGCGTGGGCGTCAGAGAAGAACTTAAATTGGACAATAAATCGCCCATGTGCTTCTGTCTATCAGTTCCGAATTAAGGATCAAAATGGATTGTGGGCCCCTAATCAATGCTATAAAGAAGCAAAAGTCTTAATACCTAGCGGCCTCTCGCGCGATGGACTTACGTTTATTTTCAAAATAATTTTACCGACTACAGCGTGTATTTGATTGTAGGAGAAAGAGGACTCGGGCTAGTTTCTATAGAATAAAGATAATCCAACCGCAGCTACAGTATTCTTTTTACAAAACAACCATCGAGTCAAAAATGCAAGAAAATTATTTTTTTCCCATAAAACTATATTATGGTGTCTGTGGGCCCCTAAACGGCCTGCCCCCCCCCCCCCCCCATTTTTGTGTCTTGCGGCATAGTAGTTTTGCACCTGATTCTGATTCCCTTGTATTCAGAGGTTTGTAATAATATAAAATGATAAACATAAGTAGTATTTACAGTCAAGTGGTTCTTTTTAATTTTATAAATAGCATAGTAGCGATGGACACTTAAACAATAAGAAATAATTGTTGTGGTTAGGAAACATTAGTTTTATTCTGGCATGCGTCTCCCCTCTCCTCTGTTCGAGATTTACATACTAGTTGAACTTTTACGTTCTACAGTTAGATATGTAGGCCTATTCTGTAAGAAAAAAAATTCTGTAATACAAACTTCAGATCAACTGTCATTAGTATTTTAATGACACTTCATCGACAAGACACATGAAAATGTTCACGCCGAAGTTTAGCTCTATAAGGGATGCAGCGTTCGAACAAAAAAAAGCTATATTTATCAATATCTTTAATCTATAATATAAGTGGGCTGGTAGTGTGTCAGTTCTTCCTTCCTTCCTACCACGTGTCATCGCTATAGATTTTGGAACTATAAAAGTAAACTTTGCACCATGCAGTGCTTTTCAGTGCAACACATTGTCTTATTTTATGTAATAGAATAGGGTTTGTTTATATAACAACTTAAATTTATTTTATAGTTGCCACTAATTTAACTTTTTTGCATAACGTAAAGAAAATATTAAATATACGCAAATTGCAAAAACATATTAAACTGATCAATGTCAAATATCATTTTCTTTTAAATTCCTAGAAAAAGTGGATACACTTTAATAATAAAAGAGGCGAAACAACTAATTAATTGAACTGTTTTGTAATTTTCCAAGGGAGGTAATTTAAAAATAAATTCAACTATTGTTTTTCATTTTTTTTAAATGTGAAAGCAAAATCTACGGACCTACAAGAAGGAACTATTGTTGCTATAATATAATTAGCAAAATGTGAATTCAAATTTATGAGTGATGTCTTTTGTGTTTGTGTTTTGCATTTGTGTTTTCGTCTGTGTTTGCATAGTGTTTGTTTGCATAGTGTTTGTGTTTTTGTGTGTTTTTGTTGTGTTTGTGTTGTGTTGCGTTTGTGTTGCGTTTGTGTTGCATTTGTGCTGCGTTTGTGTTGCGTTTGTGTTGTGTTTGTGTTTCGTGTGTGTTTCGTTTGTGTTGCGTTTGTGTTGCGTTTGTTTTGCGTTTGTGTTGCGTTTGTGTTGTGTTTGTGTTGCGTTTGTGTTGTGTTTGTGTTGTGTTTACTTTAGTTTTGTCTGTTCCCAAGTTGATACATTTAAAAACAAATTTACCTATCGACATTAAGGCTCCTGTAGATAAATCCCTGAAACGTATTTGTCTTTAGTTCACAATATGGTTGGATGGTTCAAATGTAGTACCAGTTTTATATCAATATTTAATCTTCCACTTTACATGGTGGTTAGCGATGTTCATGATACTTATAAATTACCCACACATCTAGTGTTGTTATTGAATTGTCAAAGAATATAGTAAACAGATAGCCTTCATCTGGAATTATTTGTTATAATAACCACGTGATTTAACCACGCTACATACGTGCCACTCAGGTTCAACTACTAATCCGCCTTCATAGTACAATTTTGTAGCGAAGAAAGATCGATCGATTTATTAGCTTGAATATAGTCTATTAGCTTGAATATAGTCTAAATTGGATTATCGATTTAACATATAAAATAACAAATAAACACATTAAGGATCAGTACCTCAGCAATACCTGGATTAGAGTTTTCACAGATGGCTCAGCTGAAGATGCCAAAAAAAATGGCGGGGCTAGCGTCCTTATTGAATGGCCAAGCGGAGAAAGCCTGGAAAAGGCAATAGCCACAGGCAGCCTATCCGACAATTTTAGGGCAGAAAAAGAAGCTATAGCGCATGCAGCAAACCTCCTGACAGAACACCCTGAATCACCGAATAGTCAGATTGTATTTCTTACAGATGCCAAATCTGTCCTGCAATCCCTAAAAAATCCAGAGTCTTATATTCAAACACTTATGACAGCACTAGAGAGGCTAAAAAATACCTGCAGCAGAATTGTGCTGCAGTGGATCTCGGGCCACTGCCAGATACATGGTAACGAGATCGCAGACCAGCTGGCAAAAATTAGGGGAAAGAAACCACAACCGGAAATTTCGCTACACCCAAAAGAAATAAAAAGAATAATAAAAAACAAACAAACGCAAATGTGGTCTGTCACACACCCTCACTACAAAAAAGACGACGGCTATTATAATTTAACACGAAAACAACAATACATAATCTTTCGACTCAGAACAGGCCACAACAGACTAAATCAACACATGCACAGAAAACTGAAGGTTGGGTGTAGCGAAATGTGCCCTTGTGGCAAGGCCCCGGAAAACACGGAGCACGTACTCAAGGAATGTACTTTGTATAGCCAGGCACGAGTCAGACACTGGCCCCAGCCCACCCCACTCAGGGAAAAATTATATGGGGCACCTGCCAAACTGGAGACCACAGTCCGGTTTGTCCACGAAGTTGGACTTGTTGTCTGAATCCTCCATCATATTCACAATTAAGAACGAAGAAGAAGAAGAGTGAGTTCACTAAAGCAATATGTTTCAATATACTACTAGAATCTGCATAAATATGCGATATTCAGCATGTATTTACCGGTACATAGGAGTTGTTACCCTTCCTTGAGTCCACGAAGCTCTGATTAGTACCTGACATAAGTTAGGGTAAATAAAGGCCGTTGGACATAAAGCTGAACAAAATATCCCTTCATATGCCGAGGTCACAAAAACAGGTGATGAAATGGATACGAACGAACTATTTTAACATAATATGGGACTCTCAAGAAGGTTTATACACGAGAAGTGTGCGAATGTTTACCAATATACGTTATCCCCTGGTCAATATCGTTATTGATAACGTAAATCCAATATACGTTATCAATACCCAACTCCTTGAAAAACGAGAGATAGGTCTTGTTAATTACTCACTTTTCCTCCCATTTATTTTACTACCAGGGTCGTGTAAGCGGTTTGAGATACATTCGATTACACTTTCATATATATATATTTCATAGGTATATGCCGAGTACTTCTGATAGAGAGCATCAAAAATTGAATTATCCACATCAAAGTACAACGCAAACATAAACGGGCTCGGGTCCTTAAGGACATTTTGTGAGTTCGCACATTTGTAACGTATACATGACTTAAGTTATGGGAAGTAAAGATTACTGGGAATGGCTGGAAAAATGTCTTTCCCTTTGCATTCCAATGTCACAGAAACAATGTGACTTAACCTACCCTATTGACCGCAAGGTCTGAAAGGGTTACTTAATTTTTACTTTACTTTTATACGGAGTATAGAAGAAATACTGTAATCGTGTAACACATTAATCTCTTTAGTGAGCAATCCCCATGTTGCACATGTCATGTGACCTCTGGGACTCTGGGTAGTTGCGACTGTGTCAACAGGCAAAAATCGCAGGACAGTGACTCATATGGGCATTGAATAACGAGTTGTATATATGGTTGGTGTATTTTAATTGTTGTATGCTGTTGAATGTTAATTGCTGTATATTGGTGTACGTGTGTATGTTAATTGTTGTATATTGGTGTATGTTAATTGTTGTTTATTGGTGTATGTGTGTATGTTAATTGTTCTATGTTGGTGTATGTGTGTATGTTACTCGTTGTATATTGTGTATGTTAATCGTTATGTTTTTATCCACATGTGTCTATATATTTCTCATTTAACTTTTATTTTTCTTTCACTGAACATTATCTTTTAGATTGATTCATCGTCACCTTTACTAAAGAGAATCATTGGATTAAAGTAGATTTTTTGGTCTAAAAATCAATTGGATATATAATATCAGCATTTGGACTATGGAACACCTATCGGTCTAACAATCGTCAATTAAACTATGGAACACCATTTGGTAATTTGTACTCAACATCATTATTTTTTTTATTAAATTATGTAAACTTTTAACTAAATACCACTATTGGGACTGAAGGTAATTCTTTAAATTAAAAATCATTTCTTCAAACAAGAGATCATCGTTTCCACAAAAGATCTTCGGTCGGACAAAGCGAAAACCGGTTGGACGAAAGTTCGTTAATGGATTATTATCTGCACTGAAAAACATTAACTGGAGTAAAAAGATTAATATCAGGACCAAAGATCATTGTTTGAACTAAAGTTCGTTAAGGATCATAATCTGGACTGAAGGACATTGACTGGACTAAAAATCATTATCTGGATTATAGATCATTATTTGCAGTAAATATCATTATCTGGACTAAAAATTTATCAATTAGACTAAAGTTCGTTTTTGTGACTAGAGTTTATTATTTGGACTAAAGATCATTATCTGGACTAAAGAGCATTATATGGATTAAAGATCATTATCTGGCCAAAGGAGCTTTATCTGGACTAAAGATCATTATCTGGACTAAAGATCATTATTTGTACTAAAGATCATCTTCTTCCCCGCTCGTACAATTTGATTGTGACGTGGCCAGCAGATCAATTGAGAAATACTCAACTTCTTCATTAGCCGGTGCCGGCTTTACTGCCGGTTTCTTAGTGTCACGGTTGATTTCCACATCAATGTAAACCAATCCTTGGGGACTGCGTGTTCTTCCGGGGCTCTGTTTGGGGTCAGGTTGTTTAGGAGTAAGTCGTGGGCTCTGTTTGGGGTCAGGTTGTTTAGGAGAAAGTCGTGGGCTCTGTTTGGGGTCAGGTTGATTGGGAGTAAGTCTTGATCTCTGTTCGGGGTCAGGTTGGTTTGGTGAAGTTCCTGGTTCCTGTTTCATGTCCTCTTGGTTAGGTGTATAGCTTGTGTCCTGTTTGACGTCCTCTTGATTAGGCGTATATCCCGGGTCCTGTTTTGTGTCCTCTTGGTAATGCGTATGTCCTAGGTCCTGATCAATGTCCTCTTTGTTTGGCGTAAGGTTTGAGTCGTGTTTGATGTCCTCATGAGTATCGTTCTCCTGGGGAGCCTTGTTCGGATGTTTTAACTCTAATTGCTTTGTCTGTGAAAGAAATACATTGAACAGATACAAATGTGTAATACCATATGTAAATTAGTTAAAATACATTTTCAATACGTATTGTGTTTAATAAATGAGTACATTTTAAAAATGTTTTAGCATTGATGTAACCACACATATAAGGGAATGCGTGGTTGAATGAAAGAGGTTACAAATGCTAATGCGAGAGTCTCGATTTTGAACCTCAGAGTCGAGTCTGTTGGAAGTTCCTGAGTCCACCCAGCTCTAATTGGTACCCGACTCAGTTTGGAAAGGTAAAGGGGACTAACCACACAATCCCATTTTATACTGCGTTCATTGAAACAATGAACTCTACTTTGTCTACACCATGTCTCTTATGCAAGAACCGGGAAAAACCTGATGATTTTGACCTAGACATGTAGATACATTTTTGTATTAATTGTTTGGCACGGAGATTTTTTGCTGTTTTTTATTTGATGCTGAAAGAAATCTGTAAAAATGAACAAACTATAACAATAAAATAAAATACACAGCTATAATAAATTAACACGAGTGTCATACTTATTTCGTTTTGTCTACAAAAATACAGTTTTAATGTAGAATTGTTCAACATGTCCTCTGCCCTTTAAGCAATAAGAAGAACTGTTCATTTCTATAACGATTAAATAATTATAGTTGCAGTTATTAATAGCTATATATTTGTGAGTAAACAAGTATGTTTTTAGAGGATGAAAAAGTGTTACGAAAGGGGGATTTTTTTTTTTTTTGAGGCGCTGTGACGTAAAGTGTCTTTAAACCTCTGACCCCTGACCTAAAGGCAAGGCTCAGTCGCTCAAAAAAGTTAAATGAATCCTAATATATAAAAGACCAATGTGCGCACTTCTCTCTCTCTCTCTCTCTCTCTCTGTCTGTCTGTCCGCAAAATATTTTCGCCGGACATCACGTCAGAAACGGCAGCGATATATGGAGAACTTTATACGGACTTTTGTTGAAAATATTATGTTAGATGTTTTAAATGTATAACCACAATTTTATTTAAAGAAGAAAAATAAAAAATAAAGGCGTATTCGAATGTAGAAAAACAGTTGTATTTATGCAACTGGAAAAGCATTAATAGATGTGAAAAAGAACGCATAAAACTGTGACGTCACTATTGCTTATACATTAACTAATGACGTCATCAGCCGTGTTTAGAATAAAAAGAAATGAACTATTTCATTCAAATTTGATTTAAATCTACGTACACTATGAAATGTATACAATACAATTTTTCCGGCCTAAACTCATAAAATTTATTTTATTTATTTGGATTCTAGATCTAGAATCTCTAGATCTAGAATACAAATAAATAAAATAAATTTTAAATCTAAATCTACGCAATAACTAGACGTAGACGCTAAGATCTAGATTTAGACTCTAACTTATCTAAAATCTATTCCAAAAATAAATTTCTATATTAGGACTAAACTATTTCAAGGTTTATTTATTTTATACAAAATCTTTGTTTGGAAATGGCTAATTTGGGATAAAAAAATTAATTTGAAAGAATAGGATATTCGCGTAAGTTAAGATTTTAAAATACGTGTTTCATTCTCCGTATTTTAAGATGCCTAAGTAGCGGAGATGTTAGTGTACTATAAACCACGCAGGTGGTGCGGGTTCGAGACACACCAAATCAACTTGGTTAATGTTTTTTTTTTATTATGCTCGGGCTAAACTTTAAAAAAAATTCTATTAGGATTCTAGATCTAGATTTAGATTGTCGGGTGTCCGATAGGGCACTTCCCGGCGCCGCAGGCGCTTCAAATTTGGCAGGATCTTGCCTTGGGGCGACAGAACACGGGGGCCGGTTGGCCGAAAAGTCTACGATGAGGGGGTCAAAACTGACCTCTACTGACCGGTGCCTTATATGAGCTATAAATCGAAAAAAAAATGTCCACGGAGGAACCTCTTCATAACTCCTGAGGTCGTAGACCAATCCTCGGTCGAATTAATTAAGCATTCAAATTCTCAATGTTTTCGAAAGCCTAAGCGAAGCTGGGCAGCATGCCTAGTAAAAACAAGAATTCGCGATTCAACTCGGTCACATCACTTGGGTGTGGTAAAGCGTTTAAAATGAATGCTCACATTTTCGTAGATACACTCCGTGTTGTCTTCTGTTAGCGTGGGGTCAGGTAGATCTAGGTCAGGGGATATTTCGTCCTCTGCTGTGTCGTTGAGCGACTCGTTGACGACTCTCTCGAGCACGTTGTTGTAGATGTTCTCAGCAATTTCCTCGTTCTGTTGGATCTCTGGAACTGGGGGTGACATATAGTGTGAGGGGAATGTGTGGTGTGTATGTGGGGGTTAATGTGTGGGGTACATGGTGGGGGTAATGTGTGGGGTACATAGTGGGGTAATGTATGGGGTAATGTGTGGGGTATTTGTGGGGGTAATGTGGGGGTATATGTGGGAGGAATGTGTGGGGGTAATGTGTGGGGTATATGTGAGGAGAATGTGTGGGGTATATGGTGGGGGTAATGTGTGAGGAACAAAGTGGGGTAAGGTGTGGGGTTTATATGGGGTAATGTGAGGGGTTTATGTGAGGGTAATGTGTGGAGTACATGTGGGATGAATGTGTGGGGTATATGGTGAGACTAATGTGGGGGGTATATGTGTGGGGGTAATATGTGGGGTATATGGTGGGTTAATGTGGGGGTATATGATGGGGGTATTGTGTGGGGTACATGGTGGGGGTAATGTGTGGGGGACATGGTGGGGTAATGTGTGGGGGACATGGTGGGGGTAATGTGTGGGGGACATGGTGGGGGTAATGTGTGGGTATATGTGGGGGTAATGTGTGGGGTATATGGCGGGGGTAATGTGTGGGGTATATGTGTGGGGGTAATGTGTGGGGGACATGTTGGGGGTAATGTGTGGGTATATGTGGGGTAATGTGTGGGGTATATGTGTGGGGGTAATATGTGGGGTATATGTGTGGGGGTAATATGTGGGGTATATGGCGGGGGTAATGTGTGAGTTAAATGGTGGGGGTAATGTGTGGGGTAT